TAGGGATGAGGGCACCAGGTGGCTTCCTCACCACTCCCAAGGTGGCCCAGCCTTGAAGATGGATCTTCTGGGCCCAAAGTGCTCACCCCTACAACACCCAACCAGCCACACCCCTTGACTGGGACTGGACAGCTCCCTGGGTGCGGTCCCGCCGGGGGAGAAATTACCCAGCATGGTTACAAAGTGGAAGAAATTGGTGTGGACTCAAGGCACAGCAGGCACAGCCTTGCCCGGCCCGGCCCTGGGTGAGGTTGGGGGAGACACAGACATGACATCTCAGCCTTCCAGGAGAACCCTCCTGCCTCGGCGTGGATGCCAATGGCAAGCAGAGTCACGCAGGTGAGCACTCCAGGCCTGGGCCACCTGCCTTGCCCTTCCTGGGATCACCAGGGCCCCAGCCCTGGGCTTGCCCAGTATACAGCCATGCCGGCAGCCCTCTCTCCCCAGCTGCTTCTGTCTGTGCAGTGCCTGTGCTCTCATGTGTGCCACCCCCACCCCTCTCCCAGCTCCTTCAGACCAGCACCCCAACACTTTGATTCATCTCTGTTGGTTTGGTTGGTTTGGTTTCTTGAGACAGGCTCTCCCTGTGTATCCTGGGCTGGCCTTGGACTCACAGTGATCCTCCTGCCTCGGCCCCCTGGATGATGGGGTGACAGGTGTGTACTACCATGCCCAACTGTTCCAGGAGTCTTGCTGTGCACCCTGCTGTGAATCTCACTTGATATCTGCTGTGCGCCCTGTACATAGGGTCCTGGTCTTACTGTGGTTTCTGAGAAAGACACAGTTGTGCAGTGTTTAGGTTAAGAACCATTTCTCATCAACTGACTGCACCACATGAAAGCTGTCTGTTGTCACCTTCACAGGGGGCCACATACTTTCTAGGCAGCCAAAGAGGTATGCAGAGGACTCCAGGGACTGAGACTATGGGAGTGTGTTTGGAGAAATTTCAGTCTGGAGCACCAACTTTTTAAATTATATTTTGAGGCAGGTCTCACTCTGTACTTCTGACTGGTCTAGAACTCACTTTGTGACCTCCATCTCCTGCCTCTCCTGCCTCAGCCTCCCAAGTGCTAGGATTATAGGTGTGTATCACTGGCCTGGCAGCAATTTTGATAAAGGATGTAGCTGCTGATGCCTTTAACCTGGGAAAGCTTCAGTTAAAAGTGGTCCTTGCCGGTGGATGACAAGTTATCTCTGTCTATCCTCAAAGAATGTAATTAGGAAGTACCGGGTATAAGGGACAGGAGGATGAGCCTAGATATTGAAGACAAAGAAACACAAATCTATCAAACATCCAACCCGTGGGACCTGAGTATAGGCCCAGAGAGGAAGAGCTGTTTCATGGCTAGCGGAGGCCCTGTGGGTACCTAGACACCCTGAGTGGCAGGCCTAGCCCAGGACACTAACTGTGGCCCACCTGAAAAGTAGAGATCTCTGAGCTGGCAGACAGGTGGGCAGGCAGTATGGAGTGGGTGAGAAAGCTGGAGTCAGAGAAGATGTCCTCCTTGCGGGGTGGGGATCTCCTGTGATCAGCCCTCTTTGGCTGTCCTTTTCATGTCTTCAGGTCTCTGAGCCTTCCTTCTGTACAAGTCAGTGCTGTTACGATGATTTGCCTACCATGTCTGCTCACTGACTGACAGCCATATTGGAGGTTCTTGGGTTTGTCAATGTAGGGACAAGGAAGCAAGTGTGAACATAGAGGTTTCCAATGCAGCTAATGGTGTGTGCAGAGAAAGCAGTCGAGCTGGATTGGGTGGACAACTTGACTGGGAAATGTTGTTGGCCTTTGGGGATCTTGCATCCAAATCAGTATGGTGGCATCGTATGTCTGGATGGTGGAGAGGTGAGCGGATACCCAGTGAGCTCTTCCTGGAGGATGTAAGTTTGCTGCCTGAGCTTGCTAAGTCAGGATCACCTCCATCCCAAAGGGCTCCCTGCTCCTGGTGGGCCTGTATGGCTCTCCTGTCCCCACCGTGGCCATAGCCAAGTGGTGAGGACCCAGGCCTAGTGGTGTGGGGCTGTAGCAGAGACACAGATTCTTTTTCTCGTCCTTTGCATCCTTCCATCTCCTTCCATTTTCATATACACCCACACTTTTCTTTATTTGCCTATCAATATTGATTAAGATGTGCATTAAGCATACCCCCAAATCACACACAATACTAAAACACCTCTCTCTCAGCTCTACCAAATCATGCCATTTGTGATTACATTCTAAGAAGTGGCACCTCCCAAGTTGCTGAACATCTCAACCTAGAACATCTGCATCCGTTTCCCCTGAGCAGATGTAGCCACTGTGCTGGATTAGGGTTGTAATCCCTGTGCGTGGTGGGGTAGCCTTTATGTCTGTGTGTGTCTCTAAACAATATTTAGTGCAGTTTCCCATGGGGTTTAAACTTCATATGCTCAATGTAATGCTTTTTGTCTTACCTTGGTTCTGTTTGCAGACTGCATACAGGTCCTTCACACTAAGCTCATCCCAACCTTTTTTAAAATTTTTGATTTTGAGATAGGGCCTTGCTAAGTCACCCAGGCTTGGTTCAAACTTAGGCTCTTCCTGCCTCAGCCTCCCAGAATGCTGAGATTACAGGCACCATAAAGGCTTAATTTTGGCTTTTAGATGGGTTCTCACTGTGTTGTCCCCAAGTTGTTCTGAAATTCATGGGTTTAAGCAATCTTCCTACCTCAGCCTCCCAAATAGCTGGGTCTACGTGTGTGAACCACCATAGCCAGCTTTTTTCTTTTGCTTTTAAAAAAGGCTTTTTGAAAAAAAAATTAAAAATAAGCTTTTTGAACTTTTATGCCTATGTACGTGTTACCATAGGTAGCTCTAGTTTATTAATTTTACATATATTGTAGTCTATATCTCAACTTACCTATTGACAGACATTTAGGTGCTTGGAATTTGGTGTCCTTCTGTGCTTGTAGTAGTATGACAGACACTCTTATAAGGGTCTTCTTCTGCTCATGTGCAAGAGTTTCTCTAGCAAACGTATCTGGGTGTCTGTATCAGTGACCCTAAAAGATATTGCCAGCTGATTTCCAGAACGAATCAATGAATGATGTCCCTCCAGAAGTGTAGGGAGCACCCTTCTTTCCCATATGCTGGAATATCTGGTGCTGTCAAACTTCTTTTTTATTGTTACCACTTTGATGTGTGTGAGATGGGTCCTCCTGATCCGTCTCCAAGGCCCTGGTGCTCCTGGGAGCTCCACCTGCTGTCGCCATTGCAGATGCACACAGGAAGGGCAGGAGTCAAGTAAACAGGACATGGCTGGCTTCCCTCTGGCCTCTGAGAGCTGCGGTACTTCCAGCTGTTTCCAGGGCCTTCTCTACAGAGGCCTTCCTTAGACAACTGCCCCAAATCCCCAGCTTTAGAACACAGGCCATGTACACGAGCCAGTGACTTCTAGCAGTAGAAATAGCTTGACCCTGAGCATCAAAAGCTACTGAAGAGATTTATTTGAGGGCCAGTTAACAACTGAATTAAAATTTAATCTGCCAGCTAATATGCACCAGTAAAAATGTCTTTAAAACCTTAACTTACACAAAGTCTTTCTCCATTTCCACCAAGCCTAATCTTCCTGGTCACACTAAGGTTTGGCAAGAAAAGTATATCTCAAACCTTTTAGTCTGAGAAACTCTTGACATACATAATTATCAAGGCCCCCAAAGAACGGAGTTGATGTGGATTACTTTCCCTGTAGATGTTGCCATATTAGAAATCCAAATGAAGACATGTTCAATTGTTTATTTTTAAACCATCAAGCCTTTCTATGTTAACATGAATTACATTTACAGAAAAGATAACTACATTTTCAAAAAATAATGAGCAGAGTAGCAGGCTGAGACAGAGCCCAGCCATAGAGTCCTTGCATGATGTGCGCAAGGCCCTGGGCTCCAGCCCCAGCCCCACAAAGAAGAGAAGAGCACGTTGCTGTTAAAAACTTGAGTAGATGAATAGGGGAGCGGGGTGGTGGTGGCAGGGGTATGGGGAAAAAGAATGAGAACCAAGATCTGTCATGTAAAGGTACAAGATCCCAATGATAAATGTAACTGTACTGTATACTTAAAAAGTACCAATAAACTCAATGAGAAAAAAACATGAGTAGATGGGCTTGAGATTTTAGACATAACCCCTACACAGGCACATAGGAGGAGGACACAGGACACCAGGGCTTTTTTGCAAGCAGAGGTCCCTTTTCCCTTATGACCCACCTGTCCCCTACACAGCCACTGCCAGCCTTGTTGGTCCTTTTTCTTCCCAACCATTTTCTCACTTTTATTTTTTATTTCCTATTTATTTTAAAATTATTACTTATTTTTTTTTTCTTTCATCCATTTATTCTGAGAGGGGCTTACTATGTTGTCCAGGCTGCCTTCAAACACTTGGGCTCAAATAGTTCTCCTGCCTCAGCCTCCTGAGGGTTAGGATTGTGGGGATGTACCATTGCTCTACTACTCTGTTTTAAAAAGATGCAAGGCTGCCCATGTAGCTCTGTATATGCTTGGTATGTGCAAGGTGCTGGGTTTTACTCTCAGCACTGGAAGAGATCTAATCTAAATATCCTTGAAAATGAATTTATAAATGGCGTGTGTCTTTTAGATAAGTTTATTTCTACAACCCAAATATTGATTATAGAAAGTGTAATGCAGAGGACTCCTCTGGAATATTTCTTTGGACAAAACCAAATGTGGACAACTGGTCTTAGTAGGATTTATTTATGTGTTTGTGTTAAGCAACTGAACTGGGTGACATATTCTTTTCCTTATTACATTATTGAAACCCAAATTCTTCCCCAATAATGAAACTGGAGTTCTTCCTCTTTTTAAGAGGAAGCTGCCCCCTCCCCCTTCCTTTTTTCCATTGCTTAGAGGAAATTCACAGAGCTAAGAGTGAAAAAAAAACAAACCTCGGTGGTCATTGTGCTCCTATCCCGCTCTGCGACTCACCCCGCCTCTGCGCTCCCTGACGTCACACTGTTTTTGTGTCTGAACAGCTCATTGACACCATTGCCTCGGAGATTGGAGAACTGAAACAGGAGATGGTCCACACCGATGCCAGCCTGGAGAACGGCCTGGGACCTCCCGAAACCCACAGGTGACCAAAGCCTTGTCTAGGCAAGAGAGGGACTCAGAGACGCCCTGTAGAGGCCACTCCTTCTCCGAGTCTGGGACTAGCAGTGTGGTGGCGCCTCCAGAAGAACTCTCTGTAGGAGGTGGGAGTGGCCTGGGAGCTCCTGTCCGCTGGCTTCTTTAAATCACTTTGAAGGCGCTTGAACCTTGTACCTTCTCATTCCTCCTGACGCAACAACCCGGAAACCTAAGCTTGTCTGTGCCGTGTGCACCTGCTGGCAGTGATGGCAACAGTAATGCGACGGGATCATCCCTGGGCAAGCTAGAGCTCAGGGTAGCCGTGTCAGGCTCCAGGAGGTTTTCAGGGAGCAGCTAAAGAGGATGGACTCATTTTGCATTCTCAGGTCAGAATAAACCCCAGCATGGCCTTAGCCTGAAAACCTCTCCATGTATGGGAAACTGGATGTGCTTGCAAATGGTTAACCAGGGTCTGGAACGTGCTGTGCTGGTAACGCCATACCCAGGCATAGCCCTGAGTAGGTGGCGGCCCTGCTGCGTATCTGAGGATGGGTGCAGAGGCCAGGGAGGGTGGGAAGCTGGAGGCAGCCTCTCCCAGCTCTTGTGTGCTGTGATTCTTGGTGACAGCAAGCCCTAGACACTTGGCACTTCTGAGGCCAGATCCATTATTAGTGCCCCCACCTTCTTTTCCCAGAAAGTGGGGCCAGGGCTTCCTGGGGCAGTAGAAGCTGAGATTTATGGAGTGGTTTGGCTGACAGGTCACGCGACAGACAGGCAGTTTTAAACCAGCTGTCCAGGCAAGTTTTAAACCAGCTCGACTTGTTCCCTGACTGAGGAGGAGAGAGAGGAGAGAGCAGGTCCCAGGGAGGGACTTCGCTACTGCAGGGTGCTGCTGTGATGCCAGTGGTGCTTTGATGTGCTTGTTCCTAGAGGAACTGCATTCCCTCTTGGCTGTGAAGTCCCCTCTGCCTTCATCCCTTCTTTGCCTTCACTGCAAAGTGACGGTAGACCAGTTGTTCTCCATCCCCTTTGCCTCACCTGGGTGTTTAGAGATTCCTCTCAACCTCAGTGTGAAGGGCACCAATGAGCTAAAAGTTTTCTTCCCGTGAACCTGACAAATAGACACTGATTTTCAGCTGGAGACTTGCTATTGCACATGCAGAGTAGTTCAAACACCATGGGACATCAGCCAGGGGTTCCTCTTTACCCTGTGCATTGTTGAGCTAAAATTAAACTGGGAGTTTGGGCTGATGACAATGTGAGAGTTACTTCAGTCACACTGATTTCTTTCAGCGAGATAGAACTGAGCTCTGCAGGTGACAGATACCCAGAGCGACAGGCACGCCTCCCCCTGTATGAATTGTGGGTGCTGTCAGGATTACAAAAAGAGAGGTATAACATGCGAGGGCCATCCAGACCTTGTTTTCAGGCTTCAGCAGGTACTAAGTAGGACAGCTGGGTGATTGTTTAATCTTTAACGTCTCACCAATGGATAGATGGACGGATGGAGGGATGGATGGATGGATGGGTGGATGGGTGGACTCTGTTATTTAGCCATGCGCCACGTCTCTTTCCATCTTTTTCCTTTCCAAATTTAAAAGAGATTTTAAGTATTCCACAAAGACTTTGTATATATAGATTTTTAATTAATGTTACTTTTTCTCAGATGCTATATTGGTTAACACTGGATTTATTAATTTGTAGAGGCATTTTACTTGGCTTTTTTAAAAGTACTGAATAGGAAAGAAAAAACAAAATGAATTGTCTTTTTGTTTCTTTGGTTTGTTTTTTGTTTTTTGGTTTGTTTTTGGTTTTTTTGTTTTTTTGTTGTTTTTTTTTTTTTTCAGATAGGGTCTCACTGTGTAGTTTAGACTGCCCTGTGCAGCCCCAGGCTGGTCTCAAACTTGCAGCTCTCCTCCCGCCTCAGCCTCCCAAGTGCTAGGATTACAGGCAGGCACCACCATGCCCGGCTTCTTTTGAGACTGACCTAGAACTATATAGCTCATGCTGGGCTCGAACTCACAGTGATCCTCCTGCCTCAGCCTCCAGAGTGCTGGGATTACAGGCATGAGCCACCACACCCAGCTTCATTTTGTTTTTGAAACAGGTTCTCACGGCGTAGTTCAAACTGGCCTTGAGTTCACTCTATAGCCCATGCTGGACTCAAATGCATAGCAACCCTCCTGCTTCAGCCTCCCCGGTGTGGGATTACATGTGTGTACCACCATGACCTGCTTGAATTGTCATTCTTTGACACATTATATGGTGTTTGCCCAGTGTCAGTCTCTGCCTCTCCTGGCAGCAGCATCCAACAGGTCTTGACCTCCTTTTTTGGAACCCTTGCCTGACATATCTCCGACTGGACCCTGCCTCCTGACCTCTCAGCTCTGGAGTCCCCAGCGCTGCCACCTAGAGCCTTTTTCTCCTCACACTTCTGCTCCTTTGTTTCTCATCGGCATTGCATGATGCGCTTAAAAGTCTCCACATCACAATGTTCATGTCAGTAAGTGGGGGAAATGATCAAAGCAGCCCCACAGGGTTGTCAGGGAGTTCAAGGAAGTTACTTAACACAGCACCCGGCACATGGCAGAGATGGTGGGTGCTGATTTAAATGGAGTTTCCTCAAGTCATCACCTAGGTCACCCATCCTGGTGTGTGGCTTCCATACCACCTACGTGTTGGTGAATCCCAACTTACGTTCCTGGGCTAAGCCTCTTTTTGAATCTGGAAGTTCATGTCCAACTGTCCACTCAGAGTGTAGAGACCTTGATGGAGCTAGGGATCCCTTCACATGTGCTGTCTGTCCTCAGTTCTTTGGCCCACTAACTGTGCCTCTATGGGGTGGGCCTTGTGCTCATGCCCAAGCTCCTTCCCTCATCTCCAAAGCTTAGCAGCTCCATTTGTTTGTTTGTTTGTTTGTTTGTTTGTTTGTGACAGGGTCTTCCCAATTCAAAGGGCCTTGAACTTACTTTGTAGCCCAGGCTGGCCTTGAACTTGCAGTGATCCTCCTGCCTCAGCCTCCTAAATACTGATCGTAAAGACTGCACCGCCACAGCCAGCTGCCCTCGGTATTATATGTGATCCAGAGGTGATTTAAAGCACACAGGAGGATGTGTGTAAGTTCTGTGCAAATACTGTGCCATTTTCTACAAGGGATGGGAGACCTGCAGGTTTTGGGTCTGTGGGAGCAGGAACCCTGGACGCCATCCCTGGGGTACAGAGGAGGCACTACCTACTTAGTTAAGTATCTTCTGCCTTCTCCACTGGAAGGAAAGCTCCAGGAGAAAGAGGTTTAGTGTGTCATTCACTGCCGTGACTTCAGTGTCTAGAATGGCTCTGGCATGGCGACTGTGTAAAAGCTGCATGTTGAATGGGAGATATAAGGTGCCCAGGCCATTGGCAACTCTGTGGCATTACAGTATCCGAGGCCTCTTGAGGAATCACGGTGTCTCCTATGCTGGTGCATAAGAAAGGAAAAAGTTATACCAGACATGCTGGCTCACATCCATAATCCCAATAGTCAAGAGGCTGAAGCAGGAGGGTTGCCAAAAGATTCAAGCCAGCCTGGGCTATATAGTGAGTTTGGCCAGTTTGAATTATTGTGAAACCCTGTCTCAAACCTGCCCTCCAAAAAGAGAGAAGAACAAGATTGAAAATGTCCTATGGCCCTCGACCTTGCTTCCTGTGGAAAAACAGGGCCCACGACCCTCCCCATCCAGCTGTGTACCCTCGTCAGCTCACCAGCATGGCTGGTCAAGTCCTTGGCAGGAGGGCGGTAGAAGGTTAAAGCCACCTCCAGCCTTTGCAGACATTTTACCCAACAGAAGCCAGCGAGCCAGGAGAGCAGCCCAGGGGTCTCTTGCTCCAGTGTCTGTGCTCTCTCATCAGTGTTTCTCATTTCCCTTCTTCCCAGCCCATCCTCCAGAAACCAGAGGCCTGGGACACAGAGTGGACTCTATGTTCACGTGGGGCAGAGGGGTCTCTGGGCCAGAGGCTGAGGCAGGCCCATGCTGCACTTCATATCCCAGGTGACAAAATTGCTGAAGATTCCTTTGTCCCCAGGCGGAGTAGAGGGATCCAAAACAGCAGCAGGAGCATTTCCCAGGGTCAATCCAGGCTTGCAGTTTCCCTGAGGGAGGCCCTCGGTGGACCAGGTCATTAAGGCCACCGTACCTTTGTCAGCTCCTCCTGTGTCACTTGCCCTGTGTGGCTCCTCCTGCCACCTGGCTGGTCCCCTGTCCAGAGGTCTTCAGACACACAGGATGCAAACGTTCCCTCCACCTCACCCCATGCTGTTACAATGTAGCAGCCAACCGCTGTCCTGGCCTCTTTTGGAAAGGCTGCTTTTCCTGGCAGTCGTGGGACAACAGTGATAATGGACATGTCCGTTGGACAGTCTTCTGTGTCGTCCCTGGGCTAGGGTCAGGTCAGAAGAGAAGGTGTGGGCCTCCCAGAGTTCCCCTCCAATATGATAGAGGGGCAGCAGCGACCATGTGGGTCCTGCGTGGCCTTTGGAAGGAAACCCACCTGGGACAGGCGCTGTTTGTAAAACACCTTTCTGCTCACGTCAAGCATGACTCAGCAGCAGTGCACCAAGGAATGTAGAGCTAGAGAATTTGCACAAACAGACCACTGAGCCAGACCCAAAGCAGAGCATTCTTGACGTCCCCAAGGCAAACTCCTGGTCACTATCACCCTGAGAGGAGACACCATGTGACCTCTGTGGCCCTTCATTCGTTCCACCTGGCTTGTGTTTTATTTTCTTGCTTTTTTATTTTGTCTGTGTGTCTGTTTTGTTGGGTTGATTTTGGGTTCAGGGTCCAAATCCAGGAGCTAACACACCCGAAGAAGGCAACTGTACCCCTGAGCTAGACCACTAGCCCCACTCCATGCTGCTTTTAAATGTCACAGAACTGGATTCATACAGCAGTGCTTTTAAAACTTTGCTTCATCTGTATTTTGTGTAGTGTTCCATTGTGTGAATACACAGCTTGCTTCGCCATTCTG